ACTTTGATAGGGTATCAAGTCTACGGATAGAATTATCGAGTTTGTTACATAATCTGATAGACGAAGGAATAAATGAAGAATTTGTTACTATATTTTAAACGCCTGAAAATATCCGAAACCCGCAGTTTTGACAGATGTTTGCAAATTTTCAGTAAATATCCCTACAATGTTTAAGAAGGACATTGTTTACCATGAATTATGTTGGATGTATCATGTATTGTCTTTTGGGTATATAAATAATTTCATATGCATTAGCGATGTCCTTCGATGCCAAAAAAATTGCAATTTTGTATCAAAATGCCTTCAACAACAATATGTCTGCCTGAGTAACATTTTGACTTATGAAATGTGAAACAAGTTAGATTCTTTCATATTTAATATCCAGTAGGAATTGACAACTCTCAGATTTTGACAAGGTGAGAGAAGCAAATACACATGGGCAATTCACCCTACTCTTGGATTGGCCAGTGATTGAAACAAAAAACTCGCAAAAAAATTTTTGTTAATGTTAAAGTATAACATGATGTTTACTGATGTAAGCATGGTAAGGGGAGTAATACTTTGTAACATTTTTCAATGTATTATTAAGTGTATGTCATTATAAATAGCAGATGTCAACTGCATTCACATTTGTTCACGAATGTGGACGATTTATAACTTGATCGATTGTTAAATAGAGGTCTACAGGCAAATAATTGAGATATTCAGGTCTAGAACAAATTAATACATTCCAATAGGTATGGTTCAATTTCACAAAGTGTGTTGATCGCAATAAATTGGGAACTTAGACTGACACTAGAAATGAGGGTTTGTCATGTTTGTTGAATAACGGTATGATTTTTGCAGTCCTGCTCATTTTAAAGTTTACTATAGAGGTAAAGTATTGAAATGTTATCTATATTTGGAAGTTTTTAAAACTATATGTTTAATAGTTTTTTTAAGTGAATGTTTCATTAATTTAAGGTTAATATGAAAAGCAACATATTTGTCTTCATTAATATTACATTCTGTAGAAATGTGCTTTGGAAAAGTATACCAAGTATATATTCCATCTATCTATTAAAGTTGTTGGTCACATGATGTACATTTGGCATCGGTCAAATTTTATTTTTACTATAAACACGTGTTAACTGTGTTTATGCTTAAAACAAATCCCCAAAGATATGGAGTATCCATCCATAGCACATGTTTTGTGTCTAATACGTAAATTATGATTGGTTGACATATACATAGTGGCGGATTCAGGGGTTCCCCTACTTTGATTTGAAAAAAAAAATTGTTTTAGCAAAATATTGTTTAAAAATTCTTCTGATGGAATTACGATAGCCTTTTCAAAAATCTGGGATCCGGACCCTATATATTTATATATACCTGCAAAGCGGCTTTTACTGGTCTATGCAACTTATGTAAATTGTGATTCTTATTTAAAAAGGAGTTTATTGGAGCTTTTGAATAGTTTGACAATCAGTAGCACCAGTTCGCAATTACGTTTACTGACATACCCACCCTTTTTATGTTGTTTATTGATGATGTTGGTATAATATGTACATGTATATTAACATTTATATATAGTGAAACGAAGCCGGGGTCTATGGACCGTTAACACGACTTTGTATCTATTAAACAGCAACCCTACAACCTTTCCTTTAGTCTAAGTCTAGGCTAGGGATCGGTCTATGCTTTCGCTCTAGGACTTCAACTATAATTTTGCCCGTCTTTAGAATATTCTAAAGTTTTACTAGGTATATTATTTGCCAGTTTATGCCACCAGTTTATAAATGGTTTAAACCTGTGTATTCAAGAACTATATATCTGATGGTTATAATACCCAGATATCCAGTCATAATTAGCTACCAGAATCTTTCTCGAACAGTTGATAAAGAGTGACTAGTCTGCTCTTACGACTAACTTGATGCTAACCTTTGACCTTGACCATAGTAAGACTTTCACAGTATCGGACTATTTATACCAACAGGTGAAACAATCTGATTCGTTACAAGACAGAACAGGAGCTGGCGGTGTACCAATAAAAGGTTTTCGAGGATATTCAATGAATTTACAGGAGAAATCACAACCTCAAGTGTTCGGGTAGAAGTTCAGTATAATATCTGTCCCATCGGTTTCATACCACAAGCATCAAGCTGCATCTCGAATGGAATATCAATCAGTATATCTAATTCTAACTCAAATATGAAGAACAATCCCAATCTATCTTTATAGTAAGTCTCAGAGTAAAGCTACTACATGTAAATAAGTTTGGGGTTAAACAATGAATAAAGGTAGAACAGACCGACGGACGAAATATAATTAGCCCGACCTGATAAAGATGGTCGTTTCAAGCACGGGACAACAAACGTAAAGTCAGACTTTTCGAAAACTAGTTCTCAATTTCAAGGCCAGTTAATTAACAAGAATACCAAATATTCAAATAATAAGAACCAGCGTGTAAATCACTGAAGGAAAGTTGAAACAAAATAAAACTCGTTCTGTCATGAAAATGCTTACACAAAAACGGTCTGTAGTCAGGAAGGACTGAAACACATTGCAGCAACTCAAACTTTCATACTTGAAACTTGAAACTTTTATTTTTCAAAACCCAATGAGGGGTATGTGAATATAAACAGTAATTACAACAATAACATATATACAAAAACAATGAGATGAATGGAATGACATGGTTACATACACAGTTGTATAAAGTACATGCTTAATGAAGTTTACAGTGGAAGGCAATTCTAATTTATATCAGACAAAATTTATTAAAATAACAGACATAACAATTTTACAAAATTTTGCAAGTTTGACAATTAAACTGTAGTCATGAGAACAAAAAAGTTCACAATATTTAATAGTATTTGGCTTTTTATACACATTACAGGGCAAAAGCACATGAGAAAAAGGTACATTTAAACAAATAGTGGAATTCATCACCAAATTCACATAAATTGCATAAATCACAGATGCGATCATCATGTTCGATACCCCAAAAACGACCTTGTTCTATTGGTATTTTATGATTCATACATCTAAAATTACAATATGCCTTTCGCAGATCATATGGTAGATCAACAATTATTATATATATCTTACAAAATTATGAACGGTTTTAAAAATGATATAGTTTAAACACTTAGCTGAATCATAAACATGGTACACTTTGTGACAGCCAGTACTCTGAAAGACCACAATTATTCAGGGTTTTTTTCAATACAAACAATCCATTTTGAATGCATTTGTTTGCACCTGTCCCAAGTCAGGAATCTGATGTTCAGTAGTTGTCGTTTGTTGATGTGGTTCATAAGTGTATCTCGTTTCTCGTTTTTATATAGATTAGACCGTTGGTTTTCCCGTTTGAATGGTTTTACACTAGTCATTTTTTGGGGCCCTTTATAGCTTGCTGTTCGGTGTGAGCCAAGGCTCCGTGTTGAAGACCGTACTTTGACCTATAATGGTTAACTTTTACAAATTATGACTTGGATGGAGAGTTGTCTCATTGGCACTCATACCACATCTTCTTATATCTATGGTACCAAATATCACATTATTAAGGGGAAAGGGTTGATGTCTAGGCTATTTCCTATACAAAGGGGAGTAACACGGATTAACTTTAATAACAAACTTAACTCAGTCCAGGAACAAGGCGTTTATCTGTAATACAATAATTCAGTAAAGTACAACTTTTAGTAAACAACACGCAATTTTTTATTAGACAAAATAATTTTTTTTTCAAACTGAAATTTTCTCTAAAGACTCACTCTGCCATTCTGCCCAAGGTTTGCATTTAAAACTCGCTTAACATTTTAATACTTTAAATTTCTGTCTTTATGTTTAGGTCATAGATTTGAGGCACGTACGAGAATGTCAACAAATAATGACCCCGCACTTTATAATCTTTTTCCAGCAATACATGAATAACTTTAATATAAACAACTTACAAAGGTGAACAGTTAATCGAATCTCGATATTCGTAAACTGACAGCTTTAATTCAGTTCAAAGAACTATTCAAAAACGTCAGCTCATAATTTAACTCAATTAACCCGCGAACCGCTTTCTAAATGAAATTAAGTGTCCGCTTAAATATTCAATGCGAACCCTGACCAAAACTAGCCAGTTTTAGTCAACCAAAATATACATCAAATGAGAGGGGGACTTCTTACCTAGAAAACGCCGAAATACACATTTTCTTCAATACAGTAAATACAACACAAAAATAGCGCGAGATTCCTCATCGAGACCATTTAAAACAAATCGGAAAATTTCCTCTTTATATGTCTACACACCTGAGAATGTGAGCTGGGAATGATTTCCAGAAGACAATCACTGCACGAGATAAATTTCCCCGGGAAATTAGTCGAGCTGTCTGATTGGTTGAGAAGGGAAACATATTTTGAATGCTAATGCGAGGTTTGTTACGTCACTAAAATTTAATGAATGAAAAATTCGGAAAGTAATAAAATAATAATAATAAATCTTTCTGAGAAAACAATCAAAAATTACTAATAATGAAATAAATAAATGAACCAAATAAAGTGACCCACAAACGTTACAATAGTACGTGTAGTAATATATTGTAACTTCCTCTCTTATATATAGGGGCGGGGATCTATATAGATTTGATATATATACAGTATATGTCTGCATGCCTGATTATAGGTTTTAGTAAATTGACATTAGTTAGAAGAATATTGATTGTTGTATGATCTTGTATGGATGACCATGGATACTCACACAATTCGTGTGTTGTTTATTTATGTATTGAGCTTGGCAGATTAAATTGATTAGTTAATTATACGAGTATTGCGACCATTTTCAATGGCTATAATATCATCAGCCATCGATCGCCTGTGTATGTTTATTTGTGTTTCATTTGGCGTTTGTCATGCTAATTTCCATCATAATGAAACTGAAATTTCTTTGAACTTTTATTTGTCACGTGTTTAAAGAAATCAATCGTATGGCTAAAAATAGAAACAAAAGTAACTGGGAATTCCCATTTTGTGTTTACAATGTTAAGTGGTATACACAGTCATCACACAACATAACAGGTAGAATCATATTTAATAGTCGATTTATTATTATTTTAGTTACATTTCGGCTCAAAGTTGGTCTTTATTTTTATATATTTTATTTTAATGTAAAAAAAATGGATCTTGATTCAAGTCATCAGAATAAAATAAGAACAGAGAATAACACCAGTTTCACATTCGTTTTCATGTCCGGGATTCCCTGAAAAAAGTTTTTGGTTTATTTTATTGTTATGTATATTGTGTATTCATGAAAACAAATTTCCACGTCATAATATATCATAAAACAATGTCCCTTATGAAATATTGTCCTGCAGACAACATTTCATTAAAAAATATATACTGTTCACAGACAAGGTTTTATTTAGAATTACTGTGAAACGTAATTGTTCAGAATAATATATCATTATGAACAAGTGTCATTCTCGTTGAATTTTGTCCACTTTGTTCAGTGTGATTTCATATGGAAAGTATACATGAAATAGCCTTTATTCTGTAATGATATTTTTTTTATCAGTAATTCCTCTGCTTTCTGCCTGAAATGTTTCAATTCCTTGGAATCCATGATGTGCAAAAACTAATTTTTATGTGTGATACTGTATCTATTCGTTAACTAGCTAAGCGTTTGTTTGTTATAATGCTATCATTGTCCAAAATCTTAATTTCTATATAATCTCCTTTTAATGAGACAATCAATTCATAAAATATTGTCTCGATATAGATAAAATATAACTTTGGATAACCTCCATAAACGAGAAAAAATTTCATCGAACACTATTTTGCTTTAGAATTATATCTCTGGTGGATAGTAACTGTTGTCTCATTGAAAAACATACCACACTAAATGAAAGTTTTAAAATAATTTATCGATTTGCGGATTTCGGAATGTTTTACCTATGGCTATATACAACGTATTTCTGTAAAAACTATAGATGCTGTTCTTTAGAACTTGATGGTAAAATATCAGTCTTACATCTCTATGTTTCATTAATTTTTTTCGCAATGTGTATTTTCTTATATTGTGAAACGTCGGGCACACGTGGCTTTTTACTTAATTGTACATGTATTGCATTTTTTATTTTTTTTTTTTTGCGAAATTCTGGTTTCTACACTACATGTGCAGTACATTTGTTACCACCATACCTTTCTTAATGTGAAAGTGTAATTGGAGACCTAGAAAGGCGAGAAAGATCGAGAGAGAAAGGAACAGAATGGAAAGTAAGAGAGGGGAAGGGAGAAATGAACGAATATGCAAGTCGAAGGAGAGAGTTGGTGAAAAATGAGGACTGGGAAGAGATAAAAGAAAGACATTATAGATAACTGAAAGTTTATTTTCTGTGGAAAAACGTCTAAATAGATTTAAAATTATAATGGTTATATCACAATTCACACAAAAGTTTTCAGAAATAAGAAGAAAGTGAATTCAGTTGAATGTTCTTATTAAGTATGCTGTCACTCTACAACAACTAGAAATAGTAACAAGACTGAAATGTCATTGCTTTTATGTTAATGTGAATGTCATGCTACCCATTGAGGGCCCTTAATTGGAACAATAAAATCTTCTTTACTCTTCCTTTTTCTAATTATAATTAAGTTTTATAAACTTTCTGTTAAAGAGAAGCGAAATATATCAATAAAAAGAGACTTTAAAGCTCACAAGTCGAAAAAAAACGACAAATCAATGGCAAAAACGAAAAAAGACCAAAAGACAAACAAGAGAGACAAAAGATACCAAAGGGACATTCAAACTCATAAGTCGAAAACAAACTAACAACGCCATGGCTAAAAAAGAAAAAGACCAACAGACAAACAGACAAACAGACACAAAACACAACATAGAAAACTAAGTTAAAAGACTGAGCAACACGATCCTGGTGATCGCAGGTGCTCCTGAAGGGTAAGCAGGTCCTTCACCAAACAAAAGTTGAAACTCTTGTTTTAATAACTTCCTTGTGAGAAGCAACCTTCTATCAAAGAAATGATGATAGGAAATACAACACCTGGAATATCGTATCAACTGGGAGATATATACTCCGTATGCAGGTGCTGCTGGAATGTTGTTACAAAGAAACGGAAAGTTCATAATTGGGAAGCTGAAATCATCTCGTATGTCGTAAAGTTTTGTTTTCAAATGACTCTCATTGTCAATTTCTAGATGTAGGTCAAGATATGAGGAAGACTTAACTGTATCTGTTGTATCATTTATCTCTAGTTCGATGGGATAGACGCATTCAACATAGTCACCAAATTTTGAATTATTTAGTGAGTCTCAGAGAACATCATATATATAGCGGAAAGTGAAGTTAAAGGATTCTACTAACGTCTTTTCTTTCTTCCTAAGAAGTTCCTATATGAAGTCAGCCTCATATGAATAAAGGAACAAGTCGGCAAGAAGAGAAGCACAGTTGGTTCTCATGGGAACGCCGATTGCAAACAACAGTATACAAAACACAACATAACATAGAAAACTATAGACTGAGCAACAAGAACCCCAACAAAAACCGGGTTCTCCGTAAGGGTAAGCAGATCCTGCTTCACAAATAACACCCATCGTGTTACTCATAAGACACGTTGAAAGTTATATCAACTGATTTGTGTAAATCAATTTATGCCGTTGAGTATAAAAGCACTGCTCCTTTGCTTTGTGTTGGTCATGTGTTGTTTTTTTTTTTGGGGGGGGGGATATTTTGTAACATGAATGAATACGTGCACAAACTTACTTTATTTTCAAATAAATATCAGTCTAATTTTTTGTTTTACCTTGTGTTGTGAAGATAAAAGGAAAAAAAAGACACCATCATTTCTAAATAATAAAAAAGAAACATATATACGGATATGCTGCCTATATCAAATGGCACTAAAAGGGATAAAGGCTAAAAACGAGTCTGAAACATACCAATACAAACAAAACCAACACGTCAATAATTCTCTAAAAATCACATTGAGGATTTCAACTTGGATGAGTCAAGCAAATTGATTTTTTAAATGCTGGTCAAAATGAAAATAAGGAGAGGTATGAGTTGGAGTATAAAAGAACAGAGGTTATCGTGTTTAACACTTAAACAGAACCAACTGTTTTGTAAACTTTTTAGGCGTATATATAATTTATTTATTGTGTACAGAGTAGTTTTTCATTACAACACTCCATATATCATTTTGGGAGATTTGCATGATGTTGTTTATAGATCTTCGATAAAATATGTGCTAAATGTTTAATCTGTTTTCTATAGAGTTTTTGTGATTAGGGATTCACGCGCTGTTATGACACCTGTCTCATGTTGGTCGAATTTATTTTTTTGTTCTGATTGATAGCTGTCCAATTGACGTATATATTTAACATATCCTTTAATTTGTCCTCAATATGTATGAAATGTTTACCAATCAGGCAAAAAACCTATCGATCAATCAATGATTTTACTTACATTTACGGCTTTCATCTACATTATCAAAGCCCACACTAACTTTTCTGTTCATCGTATAACATGAATATATATGGCACCGACTATTCGTCATTTTTTTGGGGGGTTGGAGGTTGGGTTGTTTTTTTTTTTTTTTGGGGGGGGGGGGGATGGGCATATGTTTTTTCTTCTTCTCTGGACACACAACTTTTCCGATGTAATTTAAAAAAAACTATTTTTTTAAATAACAACATTAACAGGATCAAGTATTTCCACAAAATCTTTAATGGAAACACACTATTTTTTAATTTTCCCTTCTCAACCATTTTTAAAAAAATTTTTTATCGAGAATATAAGAATGAAACAATTTATCAAAAAGTAAATTTTACGAGATATTCTACAAATTAAATTTTCTTTTGCAGGGTGATTTAGCTGGCAACATTGAACAAGAAAAACACGACTGAAAGAATACTATATTTCTGTTTGTTACATTCAACATTATACGATGGCTTTAACCTGCCTAACAAAAGATATACTAGTGGACATATGTAGTGATTTAGATAGCGATGATATGGACAATCTAAAGTTCCTAATGAAAGACGTGGCAGGTCTGCATAAGTTAATGCCAGCAACCATTGCATTAGACTTGTTTAGTGCTATTGAAAACAATAAAACTGTTGCCTTACTTAATGGGCGGTTTCTAGCAGAATGTTTTGAGTTAATGGGACGAACAGATCTCGTCAGACGAATTGGATTGAACCCAACTCAAGTTGAAAAAGAGATGGGCCAAACTAATTATAGTGTCAGACCTTTCAGGTAATGATTACCAATATATATATAGTCCCAAATATGTCAGCAGTATTGATGATACTTCCTCAATGCCTGCAGCTCTGATGCCAGCAATTAGGAGGCAATGTCCAGTTCCGCCATCTTGTTTAGCTTGTTTGCTTGCGTGCAAATATCGTTTTACTCGGAACCATTCAAGTGCTTACCAACCTTTAAGGAAAAATCATAGACTACAATATCGGAAATGCTCTACTTTTTATTTATATCTATAAATTGAGTAAAACAGTAAAAGTATAGTAAATGGTAGTTTTTCTTTTTACAACGAAATCTACACGAAATTTGTTGTTCTATATATTAATAGTTACGTGTATCACCATAGGGACCAATATTTCAGGAATATAGGACTTTCTTATAACTCACTTACGAAAACCCTCATCTGATTTCGAATTAACAATTGAATACTAGTTATTTTTTTCTTGAAATAGTTGTTCGCTAGTGTACAGATCAACGGTGTGAAGAACAAAGAAAACTATGTCTTATTTTAATTAACAAATATTTCCAGCTTTATAATCGAGTTCGATTACAAGTAGGTTGGAAGGCAAAAAAAACCCCACATTTACAGTTTCTAAATTCATATACGTGTATTAAATCACTCATCAGAAATTAAAACCCGCTAAGCGTATACCCTTCATTGAGCTGCATTGCCACGACCTGCTTCAAATTATAATTTTAGAGTAAAATTCATGATTTCGGAATGATGCTTCATACTAGAAGTGATGAAATAGTATTTAAAAGTTTTTATTTTATTTTACAGAATTTTACTTTACAAAATATCCGAAGATTTGGCGTCTGATGACGTAGAACTTTTAGCTTCCTTTTCTCTTCGTGTATTTAAATTAACGCGACAAGAGAAAGAATCTATCAAATCAGCATTCGACCTATTTGTACTTCTAGAAAAAAGGGGGATTATTGAAGTAGCTCATACAAGTCCATTGAAGGAAATGGTGAAATCTCTCGAGAACAGAGGAGACTTGGTAGATCTCGTTGATGAGTATCAAGGTATGTACCTGTAACTGAGTTGGTAAAATAATAAACTTGAAATGGTTCTTATTAAACTTCACCAAAGTATGTCTCTTCATGAAAAATGCCAAAATATTTTAAATTCAAAACCTAATACATTTTGTTCAAACGTCGATGAGTTGATAAAATGACCTAAGTATAGCTTAAGAGATTTTAGCGGATGAGAGTGAAGGTATGGTGGAATCTCTTGAGAACAGAGAAAGACTTGCTAGGTCTTATTTTTAATTGTCAAAGAATACAAAAAATGATGATGATGTTTACGTCCAGTGGCAAACGTTACAAGCCAATCATGGCGAGATCATGTTAATGAGATATGAATATGAATCCTGATTTTTATTTCATCGACGGCCGGATTTTTATCGTGATAGGTCTCCGGGTAGCATCCATCAGGAAGAAATATCAACCTACCGTTCCACATTATTTTTGCTCAGAGGCGACAAGTCTTTGCACTTACAGACGTTAGTTGTTGAAGAACTTTTTTAAAAGAATAAGTATGACTGCCAATATCCACCGAAGAAATCATGACAAGGATTTCTACACTGGACCCTAAGCAAACATTAGTCAATCAATCGAAAGGATGTTAACAACTATATGTCACCACAAAGAAATAAGCGTATGAAATTTGGCCATAGTCAATATACTATTTTCATATTACCGACTTTTGATTCCGGAGTTTATATTTTTTTGACAGGTTACCTACTCTGCGGTAGGACATCCTGGTACTCGGTCAAGTAAGAGCAACTTAAAGAAGTAAAATCAAGCTTACAATCAGTATAATATCGGGAGAAAATTAACTGTTACGTGTTTTCTGTGCACGACAAAATCATCGGAAAACAGTAAACTTTCTCCCTAAATTGCACGAATTATACGTTTGATTTTACTTTTTTTTGGTCGCTCTCACCTGACAGAGTTACCTACTCTGCGGTAGGACATCCTGGTACTCGGTCAAGTAAGAGCAACTTAAAGAAGTAAAATCAAGTTTACAATCGGTACAATATCGGGGGAAAATTAACTGTTACGTGTTTTCTGTGCACGACAAAATCATCGGAAAACAGTAAACTTTCTCCCTAAATTGCACGAATTATACGTTTGATTTTACTTTTTTTTGGTCGCTCTCACCTGACAGAGTACCAGGATGTCCTACCACAGAGTAGGTAACCTGTGGAAATAATTTTGAATCCGGAGTCAAAAGTCGATAATATGAAAATAGTCTATAATGAATAAGTTTATTGATGGGTTCTATAGGAAAGTTAGGATTTTAGAATTCAAGCTGTTGAGTACATGTATCAGGAATGTCGCTTAGGTAAACTGTGAAATCTACTGACAACCGGGATACCTCGTAGATCTCTTTCTTAAATTTCAAAATAGGTACTTCCATTAAAAAAAAAGAAACATGTTCCAGAGGGATAATCAACAGCGATATATTGACAACTGACAACAGAGGAACGAAACCATGTCTCAACAGACAAAAATAGTACAGTAAACAGTGCACAAAACAAGTCGCAGAAGATTAAAAAAATTTAACAATATAAGCCGAGAGCTCCTGAAGTACAAACAAAAGTCTGTGCTATTTGTTACAAACTATGTTGATATCTCTAGAAAAAATACTAGACGTGTTACATTTTCTTACCAAGTATCACGATGCAAATGGGTCTGAATGGAGTTTACAGAATAGACACATTATACTATTAGACAAAATATTTACAAAAAGAATCAAAAAGTTAAAGAATATAGAATATGGGGTCCTAAAATATAAACAAAATTGAGACCAATGGGCAAAATGAATAAAAAATGGAGAAAATGGCTTAACAATAAAGAATACAGAAATGAAGCCTATCAGTTCAGACTCTCATTTTATGTGTGTAGGTGTATTGTTATTCCTTCAATGGGAAGACGGAAGACATTGTCCTTTTCGATACATACAAGTGTAGTACAAGAAAAATACACTTTAAAAGATTTCCTGGTTTAAATTTTTTCCAAGAATGTTTATTTCTTGTTATTGTATTCAAAATTACAAAATATAAAAATGTGTAAAAAAAAACTGCGAATCATACGTCAGGTAAAAAATACATATGCTCGTTTCTTGCCTCCTTGTAGCACATATAGGGTAGGTAGGTAGGTACATGTAAAATAATTTTTCTTTTGAAAATATATTTTTCACACACACTTTAAAGGGATGTGTTATGGACCCTTTCGGTACTTTAGAAAAATGCCTGAGATTATGTTAAGGGTAAACATGCTACATGTAACGGGTATGTAAGGTTGCAGAAACCAAGACAAATTTTTTTCTTGGCCTTGTTTTGTTAATCCTTGAAAGTAACAACACAGACAACATTGTCCTGAGTTCCATGTTTTTTTTTTTACAAATTAATTGTTTCACATAACATTTCTAATTTTTATTTGATTTCAGTTATAGTTCCTGACAATTCAGGTCATACAGGTAGCAGAACAATTCCAGACTATCCAGGTAAAATCACATACATTTGTGTTCTTCTAATATTTAACATATATGATAAAATTAATAATCAAAGAGGGAGGTTCGTTCCAGCGTTAAGCTGGTTTCACCCTACCAGATATTGTGCCTGTTTTAAAGCAGTCCATTGTAACTGTGTTCTTATCATCCTGCCGAAGTTCGGTGGTTCTTCCTTGCATCCTACACACATACAAACTGGTCGCCACGATATAGACAAGAGTGATGACTAGTCTGTAGCATTAAATGTTGGCTCATAACAATACTCCTCGCTAATGTAATTGTAAGCATGACAAGGTTTTACACAAATTTATTTTTGCATTTCCTTTTTTTTTTTCGTTCATTATAGTATCTTCAAAACCAGATATGTGTTCACTTTTATTTAAGTTTAGTAGCCTTTATACAAAGTGTTCTTGGTGCAATTCACACTCTTTTATTCTACTTTTAATGCGATCTTCATGAAAAAAAAAACCCGCATATAATGTGACATTATCAGACAATTCCATGAGTCTTAGTCAGACCACGTTAAATGACGAAAAAACTAAATGTTTGTTATATACCCCCAATACATAAAAGGACGATTTTGTTTCAGTGAAATATCTGTTACTATGTCATCATGGTTATATTACACAACTGCTTGTGTTTACCATTTTTTTCTCGAAACTTAGACGTCAAATTAAACGTTCTGTATTAAAATTCTGCCATGATAGAAACGATCGGTCAAAAGGGGGACACGTCATGTGTAGAAATGAAATTGAGATTTGAAATTAATATTGGAATTAGTTAACGTTAAATTCTGATGAAAAACTAGCATACACAGATACAGTGGAGATCACTTCTAACCTCTCATCAAATCTGGCAGAATCTGTCAGGAGAACTATTCTAGGACAGTATGTAGCTAGAACAGTTCTAACCTAGAACTGATTTGGTCAGTTCTACCTAGAACTGATTTAGACAGTTCTACCCTAGAACAGTTTTAGACAGTTCTACCTAGAACTGACCAAATCGTTGGTCAGATCTACGACTAGAACAGTTCTACGGCTAGAACAGTTCTACGACTAGAACAGTTCTACGACTAGAACAGTTCTACGACTAGAACAGTTCTACGATTAGAACTGATTTGGTCAGTTCTACGGCTAGTATTGATTTAGTCAGTTCTATCCATAGAACAGTTTTAAGAACTCATTGTCTTAAATATAAATAAGTCAAAAGAATATAATATATATTAAAAAATTCTCATCACAGCACTGTTTTAACATTTCTCTAACTGCAGTGACGTCATTTAGAACTGTTCTACAATCCTGACAGTTCTACGGTTAGAACTGATTTAGTCAGTTCTGCTGACAGTTCTACGGTTAGAACTGATTTGGACAGTTCTACCTAGAACAGTTTTAGACAGTTCTACCCTAGAATTGATCCTGACAGTTCTACCTAGAACTGATTTGGTCAGTTCTACCTAGAACTGATTCTGACAGTTCTACTTAAAACAGTTCTGGGGTAGAACTGTTCTAGGTAGAACTGTTCTAGGACAGTTTAGAACAGTTCTATGACAGATTAATCTGACAGTTCTAATGAGAGGTTAGAAGTGATCTCCACTGTACAATAGTTGATTAATATTGGGACTGGTATGAATTTAGGAGTTATCGTTCCCTGCAGGACAACATCTATCTTATAATATTTTATTTCAGATGGTGGCGTCAGTTTACATTCGACCAGTCATCTAGCACAATCACGCCGACCACAAAATATTAACATCGGTCCGTCAGTACCATATTATGAAATGACGTCAAATCCTAGAGGTATATATAATATGGTGCACTTCGTCACGTAACTTTCAAATGTAAAACAATACGCTTATTTACCATAATGTGAATATTTTATAAAAATGTGTGTGTATAATTATATCCATATAGTGATTTAACTTATTTAACAGTGCCACAACTTGTATATACAAAAAATGTATTTCAGTTTGCTGGAACATCCACCTCGGTTCAAAATAACCTCTTCAAATTCGTCCCCTTTCTAACAATGTGAAGCATCTACTTCTATCTATGTCTAGCTGCTTTCGTCAAAGTTTTCTTGGCTTTATTGAAGGGGAATGATGTTATGTTTGTTCTGCAGCTTGATAATATTGAGTTGTAAAGTGTTAGCTATTTTTAAATGTGCCTTGCAGCTATTTCTAGTTTGCCGATAGTTTAAATTTAACAATACTAATTGTTCAAGGAAAATTTTTGTCAAAGTCTTCTTGGCTTCAATGAAAATAATGATTTTATATTTGGTCTGCAGCTTGATAATATTGAGTTGTAGCGTGTAAGCAATTTTTAGATCTGTCACATATTGTTTGTCGATAGTCGATGTCGGTGACGTAGGTCCAGACCCGGTATTGGTCTCCTGTCTTTATACACTAGTCAACAAAGTAACGATACACTAGTCTGAAACTTGATTTATCATAAAATATAAAAAATAGGAAAAACTGTTAATTTTTCCAATGAAATACATTTAATTGCAAAGCAAATGCATATCATTAAGAAAATCCGACATAGACTAGAGCTTGTGTTTATGTAGGTTATTGAATATTGACTTTAAATAAAACTTTAAATTGAAGAGATGGAAAGTGAGAAAATACCTAGTTACTGAACACGGGAGGTATTTTTTTTTTCGAAAATGATGACAAATTCAACATTCAGATTCGTAGATGAGAATTTTGATATTAAATATCTGCGAAGGCATTTTTATACGACCGCAAAAAAATTTTGTGGTCGTATATTGGTATGACGTTGGTGTCGTCGTCGTCGTCGTCGTCGTCCGGCGTCGTCGTCCGAAGACACATTGGTTTTCGCACTCTAACTTTAGTTTAAGTGAATGGATCTTTTTGAAATTTTACCATAAGGTTAAATACCACAAAAGGAAGGTTGGGATTGATTTTGGGGGTTATGGTACCAACAGTTAAGGAATTAGGGGCCAAAAAGGGGCCAAAAATAAGCATTTTCTAGTTTCCAGACAATAACTGTGGAACGGTGTATGGATCTCTCTGAAATTATACTACAAGTTTCCATACCACAAAGGGAAGGTTAGGATTTGCTTTGGGGGGTTATGGCTCAAACCGTTTAGGAATTAGGGGCAAAAAAGGGGGAAAATAAGGTTGTCCTGGTTAATGGACAAATAGTTTAGTACAAAACATAATTTTAAGCAGTGTAAGGGAGATAAATCAAATACATCATTGAAATTATCTCCCTTACACTGCTTTTGAATTATGTATAAAGTAATGGTTAATGAACAATAAAGATAATTTAAAACAGTGTAAGGGAGGTAATCCAAATACAACGTTTTGGTTACTTCCCTTACACTGCTTTTAAATTATGTTTAAAGAAATGCATATTTATAAAGGAAGACCAGTAAAAATATCTGCAAATGTTGCATCTTTTTTTTTTACAAAAAAATCCATATGAAAGATTTGACACTATATTTTTAATTCTATTATAAAATAGATTAAGTTAGCACTATGGTAAATTTAAATGGGTAATTATGGTTGCCAACTCCATTGGAAATTTGAATTGAGATTATGACCATATCTTGAGGGAAAGAATTTTTTGGGGGAAAAAAGGGGGGGGGGGGGGGTAAAAAGAAATTGTGGGGGGTCAATTTTTTCTCATTTCAGATTTCAGAAATTAAAAAGAATTATTCTTCAAATATTATTTTTTTTTTCAAATTTCAAATATTGAAAAATTTCAAGAAGTAATCTTTAATTGCACAGTATGGCGCATTAGATTTGTAAAATCTTTGATCACATTTATTTATTTGTTATGCCGAATCTAACAGTGTATTTAGTTTTTTAATTTTGGGTCCAATTTTCAAATTGGTCTACATTAAGGTCCAAAGGGTCCAAAATTAAAGTTTGTTTGATTTTAGCAAAAATTGAATATATAAGGTTCTTTGATATGATGAATCTAAACATGTAGTTAGATTTTTGATTTTTGGCCCAGTTTTCAAGTTGGTCCAAATTGGGGTCCAAAATTAAATTTTGTTTGATTTCAACAAAAATTGAATATATGGGGTTCTTTGATATGCTGAATCTAACCATGTATTTAGATTTTTTATTTGTGGACCCCGTTATCAAATTGGTTCATATTGAGGTCAAAAGGGTCCAAAATTAAACTTTGTTTGATTTCATCAAAAATTGAATTATTGGGGTTCTTTGATATGCCAAATCTAACCGTGTATTTAGATTTTTAATTTTGGGTCCTGTTTTTTAAATTGATCTACATTAAGGTCCAAAGGGTCCAAAATTAAACTTAGTTTGATTTTAACAAAAATTGAATTCTTGGGGTTCTTTGGTATGCTGAATCTAAACATGTGTTTAGATTTTTGATTATGGTCCCAGTTTTCAAGTTGGTCCAAGATAGGGTCCAGTATTTAAACTTTGTTTGATTTCAACAAAAATTGAATATGTGGGGTTCATTGATATGCTGAATCTAAACATGTATTTAGATTTTTGATTATGGGCCCAGTTTTCAAGTTGGTCCAAATTGGGGTCCAAAATTAAACTTTGTTTGATTTCAACAAAAATTGAATATATGAGGTTCTTTGATATGCTGAATCTAACCATGTATTTAGATTTTTTATTTGTGGGCCCCGCTATCAAATTGGTTCATATTGAGGTCAAAAGGGTCCAAAATTAAACTTAGTTTGATTTCATCAAAAATTGAATTATTGGGGTTCTTTGATATTCCAAATCTAACCATGTAATTAGATTTTTAATTTTAAGTCCCGTTTTTTAAATTGGTCTACATTAAGGTTCAAAGGGTCCAAAATTAAACTTAGTTTGATTTTAGCAAAAATTGAATTCTTGGGGTTCTTTGATATGCTGAATCTAAACATGTGTTTAAATTTTTGATTATGGGCCCAGTTTTAAAGTTTGTCCAAGTTGGGGTCCAAAATTAAACTTTGTTTGATTTTAACAAAAATTGAATTCTTTGGATTCTTTGATATGCTGAATCTAACCATGTATTTTGATTTTGGACATTGGACCATAATAGGTAAATTAAAAAAAGTTCAAGTTCTTAGACCACATTCTTTCTGTGTCAGAAACCTTTGCTGTCTCAAATATTTAATAAAAATCCAAATTCAGAGCTGTATCAAGCTTGAATGTTGTGTCCATACTTGCCCCAACTGTTCAGGGTTCAACCTCTGCGGTCGTATCAAGCTGCGCCCCAGCGAAGCATTTTATTAAAAATGTAATCAGCCCATGTTTATGTTTTAAGTGTTTATATTTTTTTCTGAAGTGTTTGGTTAAATAAATGATTTTTTAAAATTAATAAAATTGCAAATACAAAATTTCGTGGTTTGTCTTAATAAATTAGATTTGAAAAGAAGACAACACTCTAAACATAAGCTCAATAAGGCAATTTTTTTTCTCGCAAATCTGTTCTGCCAATAAAACCCTCGATTCATGGTACCGTGTAAGTAATTCAATTATACTATTATATGGAAAATGTATTGCCTTGTATCATTTCTTTTGTTGACTACATGTATATTTATTAATCCCCTACCGACGAAGTCGAAGAGGACTTCAGGTTTGCACTCTGTCTGTCTGTCTGTCCATCCGTCAGTCCGGCAAATCAGTTTTCCACACTTTTGTTCTTCGTGCTTGAAGATATTGATTTGAAATATGGTATATACTTTTATCATGACAAGTTACAGATCAAGTTCGAATTATGTTCAGGTCTGACGATTTTGTGCAGAGTTATGGTCCGTGGACTTAAAAAATTCACTCAAATAATCAGTTTTCCACACCTTTTTTCGTAATGCTTGAAGATATTGACTTGATATTTTTATATAGTTTACACCATGCAAAGTTATAGATCAAGTTAGCATTTTGTTCCAGTACAATGAATTCTTAACCGGTAGGGGACTATGTATTGCCATGCAATATTCTCAGAATGCTTGTTAAATTTAATTTAGCTTGATTCATTTAAAACTTTAATCATGTGTTGTATGTTCCTTATGTACATGTAATGTTTTCATTTTAACCCGGAATTATATCGGTCAATGCATGCCTTGTGTAACTCCTTATTTACTATTACATGTAAAACATGGAAGTGCAGGTAAAAAAAAATGAAATTTCAAGGAGCGACAGACAAGTCCATAGCAAAATATAAGCAATGAACAGACAAGCAATACTCAACAGATTTTTTTTATTACAGAAAGTCACGTCTTGAGCATTAAGAAACATGATTAATTAAGATGCCAATTAATAACGTAATATAAAACCCTACATTCATACAACATAAACTAGCTATATGTTCTTGTCTTACACAAAAACTAGCATTGCTATGATAGCAAATACATGTAATAAAATAGTCCGTGTCTATATTTCAGGAATATGTGTAATAATAAACAATAAGAAATTTAAAAAAATGAAAGCGAGAGAAGGGACAGACGTCGATCAAGGTAAATTTATTGATTTATTTCTTTTAATAAAAATTATTCATTTTCTAAAATAAAAAAATTGATTGCATAATTTTCTTAAAATGTAATATGAATTGAATAATATTGAACGAAATCGTGCACAAAACGTTACATTTATAGGTAAGCATGCAATATACATTTATATAACTAAAGAAGAAATAAGCTTAAGACAACATCTTATGTATTATGCAATGCTTGCATTGCGGTTTTAATAACTTTTAAACTAGTGTTACTCCCCTTTAATAGTTTGTGCCTGAATGAAGTCATGCTATCTGGATCGTATGCTTTTCGTGTTTGTTTTTTTATTTTGTAATTTTTTTCCTTTCGGAAGAATATATAGGGTGTTGTAGGTTGGTGTGGTGTGTTATCCCGTAATCCTTTTATGTAATATATTAGAACACACCCGCGACATCACAGGTGCGTGACTGAATTAAAGTACTTACCCCTTATTTTAGCCTGGATCTTTAGTATTCGTATTGTCATCTTTTAAAGTTATTCTGATTATAAGGTTCTCTTTGCTTTCAAAATCTTTCTGTTTGAACTCGCCATGGTTTTCTTTCTACAACCGGAAACTACATGTGACATATGCTATTGGTATCGGTATCGGATTCGACCCGGAACTTGTTATTTATCATAATTGGTAATATTAAGTTGAAAACAAAAGGGCCTGGAAGGGTGTAATTTTTAATCAACACCATTGTCATATGTAAGTTATATATAAAGTTGAATTCTTTGATTCGTCGTTTTTTTACGTCATGCCGGCTAACAAATTGGACCTCGTTATTTTAGTAGTATAGATATACAATAAGTTATTTCACTATTATTTTCTGGCGCTCGATCTTAGTGTTGCATGTTGTTTTACATAGTTATTTGGACCGATTAAATTAAACCATACCCATTTTTCTGCACCAGATTGTCATTTCAACATTAAATGTCTCTTCAAAGATGCCAAGAGACCAAATTATATGAAATCCAAAACCAATGCAAACTTTAACGAGCTGATACAACCAAAGTTGACCATAACGCCGTAAAAAAAACAAAACACGAGAGCTACATGTACAGATGCGTGAGGGAGATACATAACAGATTCCTAAATTTTGAAAGATTTCCTTAGTTTTGCAACAGCAGATTTTAGTTATAGATATAGATATTTAATTTTAATTTTATAATTTTCCTAACAAGCTTTTATATTTAGATTGAATATGACTATTTATACATGAAACTGATCTTTTGTTAATATGAAACTACATTTAATTCTCTTAAATATGAATAGTCAGACTAGAAGCAACGTTCAAAAAACTTGGATTCACGGTTAGAGTTTTCAAAGATTTGACCGTTAAAGATATGGCTGGTGTAATGAAGGACATTTCTATCATGGACCATTCGAAATTCAATGCCCTTGTTGTGTGTGTACTGTCACATGGTGGAGAAAATTTCATATATAGAATGGACGATAGAAAAGAAAAAACTGGTAACCGTCAGCGACTGGTTCAAGGAGATGGTGATCGCCCGATACAAGGAAATTTTGTGTACGGCGTAGATGACAAACCTATTCCGATTCGATATCTAACAATGTATTTTCAATCATCAAAATGTAAGACGTTAGCAAATAAACCAAAGTTATTCTTCATTCAGGCTTGCCAGGGAGAAGACATGCAAACTGGTAAGAATTGTTACACTAATTTACTTAATAATGAACCGTAACTGTAAATTAAGATATATGATTTACAGTCGCTACCAAATAAGTGGATAATCTTGAAAGTGTTCTGTTACTTTTTTTTTTAATTTTCCAATTGTACTGTCCGTCCAGTGGTCAATTTCTCTACACCAACACGGATTGATTGCGTACATTATTTTTTTATATAACACTCTGATTTAAAAAAAAAAAACCAAACAACCTTCAACTCATTTTCGACAAAATTAATCTAAGTGATGATTATGTTTGACTAGTTTATGAAAATTAAGATAATAATTCTCTAGAATTCCACGTTTTTAACGTTGTTAATGGTAATTCAGAAATTTTCTAAAAAACTACAGCAATGCCATTGCCCCAATAATGGCGATTAAAATGATACAGGAATTTAAAAAGTATTGACTTTTATTATAGTGAAATTGTAAGATACTTCTGAAATTAAAACATTATCCGTTTAGATTATTAAAGAGAAATGTGTTCAGCATTTACTTACTACACCGATAGGTGCATGTACAAACAACACTTGATGCATACCGACACTTTTCCATTACTAAATACGGGTTGAATTTAGGTTTAATTGATTGATTGATTGATTGATTGGTGTTTCACGCCACTTTCAACACTATTGTGCTATTTCGTGGCGGTCAGTTTTTATTGCGGAGAAAGCCAGAGTGCCCGGAGAGAACCACCGACCTTCGGTAGGAAAACTGACAATCCTAGTCAATTAAGATTAGAGTCGAGCGCACCTGCAACGTGCGGGATTCGAACTTACAACCTCAGTGATGACAGGCTAGTGCTACAGTAGTTCTTCTACTTCTTAGATCACTCGGCCACGAGACCCCACTTAAGGTTAAATGAAGTGTATCTGTCAATAGCTACCTTGTCCTGATCAAGTATTACATTAATGCCAAATGCAAAGAAATTTTAGTTAAATACTGATCATCTTATCCATGTAGTTATAATAAAATGCGTTTTTCTTACTGCATACAATTTGAGAGATATATGAGTTTCTTTCCTGCTTATTTAAGACAATCAGTGTGAACCCCACAGTATTGCAGCTTTTTAAAAAATATTACTTGGAAGAGTGAAACTGCAAATTGTTCTTTAAATTTTAGGAGTGCTTTTATCATCTGATTTTCAAAAAGATGGCCCATCCGTGGATGAATCCATAGATTTAGATGTTGCCCCCGTGTCAGAAAATGCAGAAGAGACAGACGCGGCCCCGCATGCGTCAGATAACCAGAAAGTGATTCCCGATGAATCAGACTTTCTTCTTGGCTATGCCACAGTATTTGGTTACGTATCCTACAGAAGTAGGTCACAGGGATCTTTTTATGTAAAGAGTCTTACAGAAAATTTGGATAAACATGCTGACACGTAAGTTAGATGCTACTTTTCTACCTTGTTTGTTAAAACGTTTTCATATATATTAGGAATACGATTCAATTAAAATCTGGTATTGTTCTAAAGTAAAAGAAAAAGAAGTTTACGAACCTGACAGAATAAAAAAATCTTAATAGTCTTTCTATTTTAAGATTGCGAAAATTCATTGTTAAATTAATCGTTCCAGAAGTAAACGCTATCGCAAATTTTTAATATAAAGATGGAGTCCTGATGGTCAGTCAATTTATCACACGTGTAAACCGACATACAGGGAAGTCAAAACAATCTGAAACATACGAATGTTAAACAAGGCAAGCACCCCCTTTATGCATATTTACCTCATTCGTCGAAAAAGAGGCGGAAGATACTAAAGGGACAATGAAAATGCATTAGTCCAAGAGAATCAGACAAAAAATAGTATATGGTAAAAAACGGGGAATAAACCCAAACCACTGAAGAGACAAACAATAGACAACAGTACATGAACAAACAAAGACCGAACAACACGAACCCCTCCAAAACAGGGGTGCAAACATAACTTTGCCTTCTTTTTGCCTCAGTTGGCACATTTATTTCAGGTTTACAGGACTACATGAGATGTTAGATGTCTCTTAAAGTAATCGATTATTCAGTAAAAGACATCGATACCGAAGGGCAATGAAATGGTCGATAGACGAATGAAAGTATTACTTATAAATGAAATATTTAACAAATGAAACCCGCCAAAATCTAGCTAAATACAGGTGCTCCTAACGTGTAAGCATTTCTTACTCTCGTATATCACCGAATTTGAAATTCTCAACGCGTTTACAAATAGCAACCAGTGATACGACTTGAGCAAGGAAAGCTGGACCGAACTGTGGCAACGAAAAAAGAAATTTGTGATTGATCATCCATGACAACATATTTCTTAGTTTACAATCAAATTATAACTGTAACATATTTATACCTTTACAAATCGATCTCTTGATCGATAAAAGAAGGACAAGGTCTGAAAGATCGTACGAGAGAAAAGTTAAATCCTGTATAAGTAGTTGCTGCCGGAAAGTTGGAACATGACAATGGAAAGCTCACAATTAAAAATTAGAAGCCATATGCAGTTTCCTTCTTTTATTTATTTTTTTTTATTCAACAATATATTGATTGCTGTTAACAATTTATTTCACAAGTCCAGCATTCTAGTGAAAGGTCTCTTTATTTTTACAAGAAATCCAGGGTTTCTCTCTATTTAACAATAATACATTACAATTCATCTAAACTATATTATAAATATTTCATTTTCAATCGTAAATAAATAAGTATATATGAAATTCTTATTTATCAATATGTATTATCTAGCTTGTTTGGATAGAAAAAGTTTCCTTCTTGTTAAGATAGTTCTAAACAAATTCTCGCTGTCTATTTCCGAGAGTAATCTTCGAAATGTATAATACTGAACCAGCATTTATGTTAATGTTTTGAAGTTTCATAATCGACTTATGTCTAGGTAATAACATTAACAGTAACAATTCTACTGCATCAGATTAACATTTCGCAATGTAATACATATTCCAAGTTTGAGAGAACATTTAGATGGAAACACCAAAACCGGCATAATCATGTTCTCATTTATATAAAAATAAGAAGATGTGGTATGATTGCCAATGAGACAACTCTCCACCAGAGACCAAACGATATAGAAGTTAACAACTATAGATCACCGTACGGCCTTGAACAATGAGCAAAACCAATACCGCATAGAGAGCTATAAAAGGCCCCGAAATGACAGATGTAAAACAATTCAAACGAGAAAACTAACGGCCTGATTTATGTACAAAACAATGAATGAAAAGCAAATATGATATACAACAACAAACGACAACCACTGAATTACAGGCTCCTGACTTGAGACAGGCACATACAGAATGTGGTGGGGGTTAAACATTTTTGCGGTTGCCCCTAAGCTGGGACAGTGGTGTGACAGCACAACAGATGAACACACTATAAAAATCTGTTGAAAAGGGCTTGACTCATTAGATCGACACAAAGCAGAAAAACAAGCAACAAAAACACAGACCGGACGTGGCAGTGTAATTTTACACCCCTCAACAAAAAAGACACAGATCTGAGAGTACTCACAGTTACTGACAGCTAGTTCAAAAGCCAATAACAACTAATAAAGAATCATGTTTCTCTTTTATACATTGATATTTGAAAATATTCCATTTTTTACTATTTTTATTTTATTGGCACATAAACTCCAACAAGCCCAATTGTTATTATTAGCATACTAGTATAACTTATGAATAAACACCGCCCAAATCTGACTTCTAAAATGAATGTAATCATAGCTTGGCTTTGTTTGCAGGTTGGATTTACAAGCGTTAATGGTTAAAGTGAATCACGATGTCTCAGAGAATAATATAGAATTAGTGAAAGGAGAACAAGCAAAGAAACAAGTTCCAATGACACAAATAACACTGCGGAAACAACTCTTTTTCTCTCCAGATAACCTGAAATAAACATCACTGTAACAGATATATCTACCCTAGATCACATGTGTAAATCTATGAATAATAATGAACTGAAGCCCTCGCATTCTTTTCTCCTTTATTAACGAACCTTGAACAAGGCTTGTCATATGGTACGTTTTTTTTGGTAATGTTATCCCGATTCCCTCTTTTTTCCTTCTTTTTTTCCCAAATCCCACTTTTTGATCCCTTATGTCCAACATCCAAAAAGTGTATCATCCCTCTCCATAGACATTTGTTTATTATACAAGATTGGTCTTTAACCACTTCATCTTATCTAATATGTAATGTTTTTCGAATGTGTGTCATACCTACTTTTATTCAAATTATATATAAACAAAAGAATATGAACACTAAATAAAATGCATCGTATATTTGTTTTTAGAAATAAATGACACCGAATTAATTGCAAGAATGGACCTTTCAATTGACTGGTTATTCTGATAATTGTATAATTCAAAAGTGAAACTATGACAAAGACTGGTTCAAATGACGAAACATACACGTTTTTATCTTGATATCTTATTTAAACAAAATATTGCATATATGTTTTTGTTACAAAATGTTTGTTTAAAGTTGAATATTTATCTCAAGTTTATTTTTAATTTTTGTGTTTTATAGGGAAACACATATTAAAAAAGTACACAAAACACCACAAAGAAAACAAAGACGGACGTCCACCGTAGTATTACGTATTACTAATATAATGTTTTTCAAAACATATCTTCATAATTATGTTATTTTAACAAAATATTGCATTAATGTTTTTGTTACAAAATGTTTGTTAAAAGTTGAATATTTATCTCATGTTTATTTTTAATTTTTGTGTATTATAAGGAAACACATATTAAAAACAGCACATAAACACAACAGAAACAAAGACTGGGCCCCACCGTGGTATTACGTATTACTAATATAATGTTTTTTTTTAAACATTTAAAACAATGAATATATTTGGTTATGCCAATAGTCGTTGAATTCAAAGCAATACCAAAGAATATTATTATTTGTCAAGAAGATCGTATCAACTTCAGTGCATGGTATTATATCATGTGCTAGCCGTAGTGTTGAGTGTGGTATACAACTATGGTCATGCCTTTGTGTTCTTCCTACATACAGAAAACCCTTGCCAAAGTAGGGCGTCATTTTGGCTATGCGGGATGTTTAAACATGCAGAAAAGTCCGATCAGAATCGGAAACGTTAAGCAGATGCCTCATGAAGAAAGAGTGCCACACTCTTTGTATGATAAGAACCCATTGCAACAAATCTTTGAGGGGTCCGTAGGTGGCCAGTTGCAAGGCTAAATTTCTGTACCTATCCAAGATGCCCATTTCTCAGTGCTTTTCCCAATTACCCATCAATCATTCCTATAGGCCCCTTATTGCAATACCTACCTATGTCTTTATTATTAATGTGTTCTCGTTCTGAAGATCCACTGGACATTGAATATACAAGCAATCAAATCATATATTATCATTTTCCAAAAAGTTTTTTTTCAATTTGTTCTACTGTTCTGGTGTTCAATCATTGCCTCCGAAAATCACAGTATTTTAATAACTGTCATAGCAGTATCCATGACTTTTAAATCCAGGATATGAATCTGTTTCCTTTTTGTATTCTAGTTTTATAACATACGAAAAATGGAAGCAAGCCATCTAATTCTTAATTATTTCAAGCGGTTTGCATGATGTGTTTACAAAAATTTTCCGTAAGGTATCAAAAAGAATTAAAAAAACCTTTAAGGACATTAGATTTAATCTATAGTTTTGTTCTTTATTGACCACTCTGAAGAAAAAGGCCTTTTCATTATATGTATAGATTATCGGAATTTCTACACATAGATATCGTGAAAAATCAGACGCGAGTAATAATGTGAACATTTTTGGCCAGTCAGCGCAGCAAACGAGATAAAAAGATTCACATTGTGTCGAGCGGCTGATATTTTACGATATATATATATAGATAACGTAAAAAGCCCGACAATCTGTTTATCGTTCTATTACTGGTCTTTTCCGTCTCCCTTAGAGAGTTTAACGCTTGACGAAAGTAAGCTTGATAACATCTCCTCGCACACTGTGACGTCGAGGATAATGTCTGCTAAGTTCTAACAATAAGTAAAATAACAAAAATACCGAGCTCCAAGGAAAATTCAAAACAGAAAGACTCTTATCAAATGGCAGAATCAAAAGCGCAAACACATCAAACGAATGGAAAACAGCTGTCATACTCCTGACCTGGTACAGGCATTTCCTTATGTAGAAAATGGTGGATTATACCTGGTTTTATAGCTAACTAGACCTCTCACTTGTATGACAGTCGCATATAATTCCATTATATAGACAACAATGTGTGAGCGAAAAAGCCGTGATACGAGAATTACGGAGCGACTGGGCAGGGTGATATAGATGAAGGGACGGACGATAGATATATATTTCAACACTACAATAGACAATAGATTAAATATTTGCCCGTCTTTTTTGTAGATTTCTTTTGTAAAGATTTTATTTCCCGTTTATGTTTCATCGGACAGTGTATTTACCATGTCAAGGACTTTGTTGTCACAAATTACATAAAACCTGTACTACATTCTTTCAAAGATACAAAAGATGTGTTTTGGAAGTTTGGCTGTACCTGCAGAAAACTTATTATAAACGGTATAACACACCCTAATGTTTACGAGGATCTTGTTTACCGAGCCCGTAAATTTAAATACGATCCGGGTAAACGTATCGATCCTTTAGATAAACTTATTCTAAAAGGTTATCAATTTAACACTGTAATTGGATCTTTAAATATTGTTTTATCGGTATGTGTATTGCTGTTTTTATCAAAAAATTAAATTCTTACTAAATTTTGTTGTTATATACATGTATACATTCACGGTCCTGCAATCTGTAAAAATCTATACTTTGCATTGCATTGCACAAGGTCATGTTTTTTCTCTGGCTGTTAATGACATCTCTAACTAAATCCTTTGGATGTTGCATTTGTACAGATTAATACTTAAGTCTTAGATACATGATTATCTATTAGTGGTTTTTGGCTTTGAACTAGCGAGTACTCGGAGATCTGTACTTTGTGTCTTCTGGTTTAATTTATTTTACATTTGTCATTTCGAGGTCTTTTATAGCTCACTATGTGGTATGGATTATGCTCATTGTTGAAGGCCGTACGATAGCCTTAAGTTGTTAATTATAGGTCATTAAGTATCTGGTTGAGAGATTTCTCATTTGCAATCATACCACATCTTATCTTTATATCATAGGTGGTTAAGTTAAAGTCATCTCTTCATAAGGTTTAATGACGCCATCACGAGTTGATTGGCCGTTATCGAGTATATATTTCCCACGGAAAAACCGTTCTGTTGTTAACACAATTACGTCCTCTTTTGCTACAAATATTCCATTATCTAATTTGTACTTGCACAAACAACACAGCGGGTGCCACTTGTGGAACAGGATTTTTTCCCCTTGCTCCTGAAATCATCTCAGGTTTTTTTTTATTAAGTTCGCGTTGCTTAGTAATTTTTATATGTTGTGTATTATAGACTATCGTTTGTCGTTTCGTATTTTGCCATTGCGCTGTGATTCGTTCGTCGACTTGGGAGTTTGAATATCCCTTTGGTTTCTTCTGCCCTAGTCTTATACCTACAGGGGTAAAGGATTGTAAGAAATTTGGTCTACACTCTGGAAAAAGGATCCGGAAAAGGTGTCAAAAATGAGTTACGGAGGTTTCCTGCTAGAAGGTGAATACTCTTGCATTTGTCCTTTGTTTAGCTGAAACAAACTTTACACGAAGATGCCAGTTACATATAAGACCAGAGGCGGACTTAAGAGGGATATGTCTTTTTGCAGAGGAGTCAGAACAATGTGTATGAATATGAAGATTTGTTTTTTTATTTTCCAGATTACTGGCATGTAAGTCCCACCGCTGAAAAAAGAGAGCCAAAGATACCAAAGGGACATTTAAACTCATAGATCGAAAATAAACCGACAACATGTCAAAAAAAAAGAAAAAGACTAAGAGACAAACTACAGTATACAAAACGCAACATGAAAAAGACCGAGCAACACAAACCCCAACAAAAACCGGAGGTGATTCAAGTGCTCCGAAAGGGTAAGCATATCCTACTCAACAGAAGCACCCGTCGTGTTGCTCATATCAAGTGTAAACCCGATAAGTCTTATTCGGTAGGTCATCTTCGAGGAAAAGGAAGGCGTAATTGTGGTGACGACGATTGGAACATAGTCGTCATCATCTGTGTATCAAATATCCCTAAGGTCAACTAACTGGTGATGACAACCGTAAAATTTTCGAAGGGATTTCCAAATCACTACTTTGTAAGATGTCATACTCCTATGGTACACATCAACTCAGTAGTTCTCTTAAATTGCATTTTAAATCTGTCTATAGATATTCATTTGATATGAACATTGTTAGTTTATGAATTCCATACATGTGTAGGTAGTCATAGTCAATATTACCCTATAGACACTTATTAAATGGGATAATTTTTGTTGATACACAGAGATAACATGTAATCTTTAAACAATATGAGCACTTATGCTAATTATTTGTTCAGATTTTTGTTCTGTTTAGAAATAATACGATTTCGACATTTTTTATTTCAACTTTATATAGTTACGAACATGTGACATGTGCCAATACGACAATTTTCCAAAAGAGATGAAACGACATAAAAACCACAAATTATAGGTCACCGTACAGCCTTCAACAATGATCAACACTTATATCGCATAGCAACTATAAAAGGGCCGAAATGAAAGCTGTTAACCAAAACAAACGTGATAACTATTGGCATGATTTATGTACAGAACAATAAACGAAAAACAAAATACGATATACAACAACAATGCAAAAGCACAAGATTTGTTTGTACATGTACATAGAGCAATGTTACAATTTTTGTCGGTATCTAACGTGTTTTTAATTGTTCATTATTTTTCAAGTAACATCATATAAAAAAACGTTTCCATCAACATTGCCTACCATTAGAATGTTTCTGTTTTAATCAATGTGAATACATGTAGGATCATTTACACCATTTCCTTTACCTAGCAAGCGCCTTGCATGTTTTCCGTCGCTTGATATCACCATGACACTGTTATTTCCGTTTGAAACGACGTTAACATTAAAATTGTTGTCAACGGTAATACCATATGGAGTTTTGATAACTGATTCATCCTTGTATTCCCATAATGCCTCGCCGGATGACGTCCTGCAAGTAACAGCATTAGCTTCAGGACTGGTTTCGTAAATGAGATTTTCAGATGTAGTAACATAAATTAAAAGTGTGAACTTCATCTTCTTTCTGGATAAGTTTAGCATGCGTGCCGTCATTGAGGTCAACCACTTGAATACATTTCCCAAGCTCAGAGTATAGCAATCGACCTTCTGAGAAGGATATACCATAACTTCCGCCAGTGGGTTTGATTACTTTTTCACTTTGCTTTGTTGTTATATTTATAACTTAGATCTATTTGGGCTACATATGCGTTTGAAACAGCAACAGTGTTTTCATCAATGCATGTGACATCGAACGGACGACTGGAGGATAGGGGTATTTCACATTCTAATGACCCAGATTCGTCCAAAATAAAAAGACGGCCATTATTGTGATCTGCAAATATCAATTTCCTTATCGATGTAAATGTGCAACCTTTGATATCATTCTTCCTGCTACTAACGGGAATGTGGATCTTTTTGTACCGAATAAGATTCATGTCAGTAATATATCGTAATGCTTCTTCCTTAGGAACAACCAGTTGGGCATGCCTTGCGTTTACTGGTTTTAGTTAAACTCGTGTCGGATTTTTCAAAGATGATATCTCGCCGTAGGCTTCTACCAAACATACATGTACGTCATCGCATTTACATTCTAGATGTACCCATTGTAAATTACTGTCTTCTTGCAATGATTGAACAAATATATCTTCGCTTCGTATATCAGCATTAATCTTTCTATATCCTAAAAATGCCTGAATGTTAAATGAATAATTTTTCAATGCAGAAACATGTACTTCTAGCTCTTCTGTCGATTGTCTGTGTTTTGAAAGTTCTGACAATAAATTGTCAATCTGCAATATTATTTTTTCTTCAGCGTCTTGTAAGTCTTTCAATAATTTGTTTTCCAGTGTATCCAAGTGTTGGATAATTTTCGCACGTTTCAGAGTAAATTCAGCTTGAATCTTTTGCTTTTGTTCTAGGAAACTCGAAAGATTTTGCTTTCATTAAAATTGTTGTCAACGGTAATATCATATGGAGTTTTAATAACTGATTCATCCTTGTATTCCCATAATGCCTCGCCGGATGACGTCCTGCAAGTAACAGCATTAGCTTCAGGACTGGTTTCGTAAATGCGATTTTCAGATGTAGTAACATAATTAAAAGTGTGAACTTCATCTTCTTTCTGGATAAGTTTAGCATGAGTGCCGTCATTGAGGTCAACCACTTGAATACATTTCCCAAGCTCAGAGAATAGCAATCGACCTTCTGAGAAGGAAATACCATAACTTCCGCCAGTGGTTTTGATTACTTTTTCACTTTGCTTTGTTGTTATATTTATAACTTAGATCTATCTGGGTTGCATATGCGTTTGAAACAGCAACAGTGTTTTCATCAATGCATGTGACATCGAACGGACGACCGGAGAATAGGGGTATTTCACATTCTAATGACCCAGATTCGTCCAAAATAACAAGACGGCTATTATTGTGATCTGCAAATATCAATTTCC